TTCCTCTCTCTCTCTCTCTCTCTCTCTCTCTCTCTCTCTCTCTCTCTCTCTCTCTGTGTGTGTGTGTGTGTGTGTGTGTGTGTATTTTGCCTCTAGAATCACAACCTCTTGTCTCCCTGTTCTTTCCTTGCTCAGCTTAGCTAATAAACACCCTGTATCTGAACCTCACTTTCTCTCATCTCCAGCTCTTAGCACTTGGCCCCTTGCAGTCTGGCTTCCTGCCCCACCATTTTGAGCCTCTGACCAGCACTGCCTTTCCTGGTCCCAGTTCCACTCACCTTCAAGCAGGTCAAATGCCCCTCACCGGCCCTGTCAGCTCCCATTTGTCCAGCTTCAAAATATCCCCCCACTGGTCAGCAAGCCCTAGTATTCTTCTCTTACATCATTTCCTTTATTATTATTATTATCATTATTATTATTAAGTTGTGGGGTACTAGTGAGGATTTACTACATAAGTAGGCTGCATGCAGGTGAAGTTGGGGCTTCTAACTGGCCCTCACTCCCCCTGGTAGTGGACCAGGTGCCCTTTGTGTTGTCACGTGCCCCCCACCCTCCTCCCTCCATCCCTATCCTAGCAGTGCCCAGCGTCTGCCAATCTCACCCTTGTGATAGTGTGACCAGTGTTCAGGGTCTGCTTATGAGTGAGAACATGCAGTATTCAGTTCTTTTTTTCTGTAATAGTTCGCTTAGTATGCTTGTCTCCAACTGCATCCAAGTTGTTGCAAAGGCTATGATTTTGGTTTTCTTTATGGCTGCATAATACTCCATTGTGTATATGTACATTTTATTTATCCAGTCCACTTTTGATGGGCAGCAAGGTTGGTTCCATGTTTTTGCTATTGTGAATAGTGCAGCAACAAACATGTGTGTGCAGGAGTCTTTTTGCAGAACAATTTATGTTCCTGCTGGTGTATTCCCAGAAGAGGGATTGCTGAATCATATGGGAGGTCAATTTTTAGTTCTTTTAGAAATTGCCACACTGCTTTCCATGGAGGCCGAACTAGTTTGCACTCCCACCAACAGTGTAAAAACGTTCCTTTTTCTCTGCACCCACACCAGCATCTGTTATTTTTTGACTTATTAACGATGGCCATCCTTACTGGAGTTAGATGGTATCTCATTGTGGTTTTGATTTGCACTTCTCTGATGATTAGTGAGGCTGAGCATTTTTTCATGCATCTGTTAGCTGCTTGTATGTATATCCTTTTTAAACCCATTATACACTTTGCCACACCTTCCCCACACATCCTAAGATGAGGATATTCTTCTATGTCAGGAGCAAGCCAAAAAGTTTACCATGTCTTGTATGAACATGAGCAGAACCAGCCTTAGGCACAATCGTCCCCATCTCCGTGTTCCCATCACCCCAGTAGTCCCTCTGTGTATTTTTTCTCAGGTGCCCATTATAAGTAAGTAGTTCGAAGTAAATAAGACTCACCTGGCACTTTCAGCCCCCAACTTTTGATTGGAGTCAATAGCTCTGGGATGGGTGGAAATTATTTTATTATTATTATCATCATCATCATCATCATCATTTGAGTCAGGGTCTCACTCTGTTGTCCAGGCTAGATTGCTGTGGCTCAATCAGGGCTCACCACAGCCTTGACCTTCTGGGCTCAGGCAATCCTTCTGGATCAGTAGCTGGGACTGCAAACCCACAGCACCACACCTGGCTAATTTTTTTGTTTATTGTAGAGACAACTTCTTGCCAAGTTGCCCAGGCTGAGCTAGAACTCCTGGCCTCTAGCAATTCTCCCACTTCGGCTTCCCGATGTGCTGGGATTACAGGTATGAGCCACCATGTCCATCCTGTCTAGCTTACTTCTGAACACCTGGTGCCCGAGAACAACTGTGGACTAAATGAAGAATTATTTTGAGAAGTACAAGAGAGTCAGGGCTGCAGTGCAGCCCTGTGAAGGAAATGTTTGTCCTGTGAAGGACAAACATTTAGGGGTGCCTCTGAGACACCCTGCGTTCCCAATTCCATCCCAGGGCCAGGATCTCATGACGATTAAGCAGCTCTCCCAGGCCGCATCACCCTTGCCCCCAAATATCTGTGGGCCATTCACTCTTTTGGCACCTGATCCAGTTCTGCAGGTCAGACCGCTGAAAGCCAGGCAACAGGTGTTGAGGGAGAAGGGATATAGGGCTGCCCCAGCAGGTCTGAGCAGGGCAGTGGGATGGGTGTGGTGACTCAGCAGCAGTTTGTGGCCTCTGAAGGACGGGAAGGGCATGGAATTGTGAAAAGAAGGCAGGGAGGCCTTCCAATGAACTTTGCCAAGGGAGCTCCAGTCAGCAGCACAGGGGCCAGAGAATGCAGTGCTTCTGAGACACACTGAAAGAAGTATATCCTGCTGGACATAAAGACATGAAGGTGGGAGTTGGGGGAGTGACAAGAAATGAAGGAGAAATAGACAGGGAGACTCTGGAAGCACAGGAGCATCTGACTCTGACGTCACACTCCCTGCCTGGCAGAATGACCAGATTCCAGCACAAATGCCACTCCTACCACACATGCTGGTTGCCTCACAGGGTCTCTGGGTAACTTCTTCCCGACATGCCCTGGTGCTCTGTCTCTCGGGGGCACTGAGAAAGTTCCCCTACATAAGGATCAACACACACTTCTGAGGTGTCGCTTGATTTGACCTACAGAGGCTTGCCAGTTAACACATAGGAAGACAGTAACCCCAGTTAAAACTGAACCTGAATGCCTGAGACAGACTTACGCTTAAATAGTATCCATTGTTTATCTGAAATTCAAATGAAAGCAAGAATCCTGTGTTTTGTCCGGCAGCCTCTACCTAGTGACAAGCTTCAGGATGAGTCAACAGAACATGGGAGTAAGTTGAGGCAGGTACTGCTAGTGAGGGTGGGGGAAGGGCACACCAAATGAGATGTTTGGGGGCCAGGGGACAAAACAGCATCACAGAGCTGTTTTGAAGACCTAAAAAAGCAAAAAGTGCCCTCCATCTTTGAAACAGGCAGCAGCTGAATTCTTTGGAAATTTCAGGACACGGAAAGTAGAAAAAAAGTGTTTCCATGCATTTTATGAGAGGGGACCCAAAAATAAATTAAATCATCTTTTGGAGGGCAGGCCTCTTGTAGTACACTCAGAATTTGTCCTCCAGATCAGATGGTCAACCAACGTTTTTATCTGGATGTTTTGAGAAGGTTGCATCACAATTTGCGTGAGAAATGTCCTGAGTTGTGGCAAACAGGTGGCTGGTTCTTCCACCATGACAACACACCTTCCCACACTGAGCTGAGTGTTCAGCAGTTTGGGGCCAAAAACAGCATGATTCCAGTGCCCCACCTTCCCTATTTACCCAGTCTTGCCCCAAGCAACTTTTTTTGGTCTCTCAGATGAATCAAAGTCCTCAAAGGGAAACATTTTGCCGATTTCGAAGAGGTGAAACAAAAAACAGCAGAAACACTAACAAGCATCCCAATTGGCAAATTCAAAAACCGTTTTGAGCAGTGGAAAAGCATCTCGATAGGTGTATTGCATAAAATGGAGAGCACTTTGAAGGTGACTGGAGTTCAGGCATGTAACAATAAATACACAATTTTTATAAATAAACTTCAGGCTTTTTGAGTCCCCTCATATATCCTAGTCAGTGACCCTTTAACTAAGGTATGGCCCACATTCTGTTCATGCTCTGCCCACAGCTGGCAAGCTGAACTTACCAGAGCAGTTTTGAGCCCAGAGGTGATATAGCTGCCTCAGACTGGGGACAAAAGAACAGAGGAGTGGACTGCCGCCCCACTGGGCACTACAGAGAATTTCTTAGGTCTTGACTCCAGCAACCGGGAGTGTCCTGACCCAGTGCAACCTCTACATGGGTAGCAGTTTCCAAAATGAAAATTAATCTTCATCTCTGCCCAAGTCAATTACAACCTCCACCCATCCAACCCTTTTTAAACTTCACCCAGAAGGGGTTCCAAGCAAATTCCAGTAGATTCTTAGAAAACCCGAAGCAGGGGGTTTCCTCCCTTGGTGAAAACATGCAAATGTCTCACAGGAAAAAATGGTGCACAGTGGCGTTGACACGACTGGTTCCAGACATGGTGATCACATTCATATTCTCCTGTCAAAAGGTCAAAGTGTCACATTGCTGTGCCAGGGAAAGTCAAGCCTCACAGGGAGATTTTTCTAAGTTCTTCTCACAACTACCTCCCACCACCCCTACAGCAAGAAATGTTCCTCAGGCCCAGAATTCATTGTCTACAACTCTGAATTCAGCAGGCTTGTCCATGACTCACTGGCAGCCAACCCCGACTTCACAGGCATGAAGCTCCACGTTATCTCCGTGCGTCCTGCTCAAGGTGAACACTGTTCACTGCAGAGACATCTGTGTGTTCGATTACAAGGCGCTGCCCTCACCCCACCAGGAGTGCTGTATCACTACCTTTCTAAAATCTGAGAAATTTCAACTTCAGAAATGCACCTTGACCCAAGGTTTTCAGACAAGACAGTATAGGTCTGTGGGGATTTCTTCTCACCTTTCATCAATGAACTCATTTAGAAGCAAAAAACTGAACAGGCTGGGCGTGATAATGGCTCACGCCTGTAATCCCAGCAATTTGGAAAGCAGAGGCAGGAGGATCACCTGAGGTTAAGCGTTCAAGAGCAGCCTGGGCTACATAGTGAGATTCCTGTCTCTACAAAAAATAGAAAAATTAGCTGAGCCTGGTGGTGCACACCTGTAGTCCCAGCTATGTGGGTGGCTGAGATAGGAGGATTGCTTGAGCCTAGGAAGTCAAGGCTACGGTGAGCGGTGACCATGCCACCGTACTCCAGCACCCTAGGTGATAGAGTGAAACTCTGATTTAAAAAAAAAAAGCTAAACAATCTTGCTATGCAAGAAACTGTGACCGACTTTGTACAAGACTTGAGAACACATATTGCTTGTTTTCCCTATCCAAGGGAGAGAAATGTAAAACCAGAGCACTGACCCTCCTTTTCCTTGACTCCCTTTCTCCAAGTTCGTCTCACAGGCACCAAATATGCCTGTGGAGGAGGCGGCTGTGGCGCCTGCACGGTGATGGTGTCAAGATACGACCCCAAGACCAAAAGCATCCAGTATCCTTTGTGCTGCCTGGGCCCTGCTCTGGGTGTGCCTAGGAAGGGTGTGCAGCCTCCCTTTCCTGTGCATGTGTCCTCCACCACCCCCCAAGCCTGGTCTCCTTGCAGCTTCCTAAACTCCAGACCCTTCCTGCAGAGGTGCTTCCCATCAAAATACATCTGTCCTATATGACAGGTGCTCAGGGCTCCTCTCTACTGCTGTAACACTTCCTTGGCTTTTGAGTAGGAGATTTCAGGCTGAGGGTAGGCAAAAACGACTCTACACAAAGAAGCAAAAGTCCTAGTGAAAGAGTCAGGGCTTCAATACACACTAAGAAGAGTCAGTTAAGGATGGTGGCTGCACCTGTAATCCCAGCACTTTGGGAGGCCAGGAGTTTGAAACCAACCTGGACAACATAGGAGACCCTGTCTCTACAAAAAATAAAAAAATTATCCAGGTGTGGTGGTGGTGTGTACCTGTAGACAGGAGTTTCACTTGAGTCCAGGAGTTCGAGGATGCAGTGAGCTATGATCGCACCACTGTACTCCAGCCTACGTGACAAAGTGAGACCCTGACTCTAAAACAAAAAAGAAAATCAGAGTTGTTTGCCTGGAAGGGCTGAGTGAGAACTTAATTGTGCTACATGACTGAGCCAGCATCTCCTTGACCTAGAAATGTAAATTTTCTTACTGGTGGAATGTGGTCATGAGGAAGGAGTCTAGTACAGTTCCAGGTTTTGCGTTAGGTGACTGGGTGGTCACACATCAGGGAACTGGGAAGAGGAGGAACAGAGGAGAGGAAAGTAGTACATTTAGTTTGGGGGTAATTATGGGATGTCCCAGAGGGACTGTCCAACAGGTATCTAGAGAAACAGATCTGTTACTCAGAGGAGAGGTCTAGTCTGGAGCTAGAACTTGTCAGAAGTTATCAGCATCAACAATAACAATGATGATAATAAAAATAACATGTAAAATGCTTGTTGTGAGCCAGACCCCTGTTCAAAGTAGCTCACATACATCCCTCTGATATAGGCATTACTATTACTCACTTTTTAAAAAGAGGAAACTGACTGGGCACAGTGGCTCTCACCTGTAATCCCAGTACTTTGGGAGGCCAAAGTGGGAGAATCGCTTGAGCCCAGGTGTTCAAGACCAGACTGAGCAACATAGCAAAACCTCATCTAATTAAAAAATAAAAATAAAAATTAGCGGGGCATGGTAGCACAGACCTGTAGTCCCAGCTACTTGGGAGGCTAAAGCCAAAGGATCACCTGAGCCCAGGAGATTGAGGTTGCAGTAGCCATGATTAGGCCACTGTACTTTAACCTAGGCAACAGAGTAAGACCCCGACTCAAAAATAATCATAATAAAAAGAGGGGAAAAAAGGCAAAGAGAGTTAAATAACTTGCTCAAGGTTTCCTGTGCCAGGTAGTGGTAAAGTTAGTTTCAGCCCAGGTCATCTGGAAAGTGGCAGAAAATGTGAATGAGCATTGTCAGTGTAGGACATGGGAGGACAATGGAAAGAGGACCGAGAAAGAAAGAAGCCCCCACAAAGGAGACCAATGGGGAGTGGTCAGAGCTGAAGAAGGAATATGGAGAGGAGAAAATTCCAAGAAGGGGGCCGTGGCCACCAGTGGGAACACCAGGGAGTGGTCCAGGGACATCAGATTGCTCCCAGAACAATTCCAGCAAGAAGATGGGGCTGGAGGGTGAGATGCCATAGTTATAGAAATGACTGTAAGGTCTTAGGTTAGGGAAAGTGGCTCAAGCCTGTAATCCCAGCGCTTTGAGAAACCAAGGTGGGAGAATTCCTTTAGCTCAGGAGTTTGAGACCATCCTGGACAACTCAGTGAGATTCTTCTCTCTTCAAAAACTAAAAGAATTAGCCAGGTATGGTGGTGCACACCTGTAGATCCAGCTACTCAGGAGGCTATGGCAGAAGAATCTCTTGAGTCCAGGAGTTGGAGGCTGCAGTGAGCTGTGATGGTGCCACTGCACTCCAGCCTAGGTGACCGAGCAAGACTCTGTCTCTAAAAATAAAAATAAAAGAAGTGACTAAAAGGAAGCTGTAGCCAGCCCTTGAAGAAAAACGTGATTAGGAAAGAAAGTTGGGCCAATGTTGAAAAGAGAAATAGTTTTCTGGATATTTTGCAGCACAGAAAATATGATTTTATTTATAGACATGAGGGAGTTTGGAGAAATGAGACCCTAGGCAGAAAGAGGGTAGGAGGGCCATGATGATAGGGCTAGCCCTTATAAAGACAGGAGTAACTGGGATCCAGCAGAGGGGAGGAAGATTCTGCTCCCTCGGAGCCTTAAAGGGATGTGATGATACGGATTTTTCAGGTCAGCCTGGGCTTCAAGAGTGTCAGTTCAATGGGTCCGCCAGTCAAGCCCCAAAAAGTGTTAGCTCGATGGGCTGACAAGCCCAGCCCCAGGAGTGTTGGCACTAACTGGCTGGCAGGCCAAGCTCTGAGAGTGTTGCAGCCCCTAGAAGTGTCTCAACTTCGGAGCCTTACCTTCTGCCGGCAGCTCTCCGGGTTCAGCCGGCTCCGATGGCTGGCAAACCCGCCCCCCATGCACACGGCTCTTCCGCTCTGACGATCTTCTCCAACTCTCCAGGCCGAGGTTCTTGTCTTGCCCAGGAGGAATGAGGGACACGGAGGCAGGAAAGTGAGAACACACAATTTATTGAGAAAACAGGAAAACTACCACAGTGGGAGGATATCTGAGGGACTTGCCAATCTGGGGCCAAACCTGGTGCTTATATAGCCCTAAGACTGAGCGAGTGGGCTAGCACTAGCTGTGAACTGATTGGCTGGCACTAGCTGTGCTGATTGGTCAGTACTAAGGACCAATCAACAGGAGGTAGGGGCCTCGTGGTGAGCTGATTTGTTGGCACTTGGCACGCTGATTGGTTCTTTTTCTATCCCAGCAATGAGTACTTAAGCTCTAGCTTGAGAGTCTTGTTTACCAATGCCAGAGGATTGGCATCGGTAGGGAGCTTGTTTACCAATGCCAGAGGATTGGCATCGGTAGGGAGCTTGTTTACCAATGCCAGAGGATCAGCGAGAGAGACCTGCTAGAAGTTCACTACGTTGTTACCGGGAGACCTGCACTGTCTGCCTAGCTTTTCTCTGGCTATCGCCTCTCTCAGTGAGACTCATGCGGGCACAAGCCAAAGTGTGAAGGAAGTTAGTGTCTCTAGTCCCTGGAGGAGGCCAGAGGGCAAGACTAAAGAGTCTTGATGAGAAGTGGAAGAGGCGTTGAGAGGGATAGGTGTGGTGGCTCACGCTGTAGTCTCAGCTACTTGAGAGGCTGAGGCCGGAGAACCACTTGAGCCCAGGAGTTCAAGGCTGCAGTGAGCTATGATTGTGTCACTGCATTCCAACCTGGGTGATAGAATGAAATCCTGACTCGAAAAAATAGAAAAGAAAAGACAGAGGCTGTGAGATCAAGCGGAAGCAAGTGTTAATAGGGAGGGAATTGGAGAACATGAAAAACAAGAGATACATCTGTTTATGAGGTACCTGGGCCCACCCTGGCTCCATACCCCACATACTTACTCTTGAGCATTCCTAACTAGTCGGCTTGGTGGCTCCCCAATAGCCTGGATGATTCGGAGGGCTAGGGAACCAAAACTCAGTCTATCTTTTATTCAGAAGAACACCATTCATAGATTCAGCCTGGGTAGGGAAAGAAAAGAGACGTTCCCTGGAAAAAGGACAAACTCCTTCTCATATTGAAAAGAGAATAGGGCCGAGCTCAGTGGCTCAGCCTGTAATCCTGCGGAGGCCGAGGTGAGTAGATTGCCTGAGCCCACGGGTTCGAGACCCGCCTGGCAACTTGGTGAGACCTCATTTCTACAATAAATCAAACAATTAACCAGGCGTGGTAGGCGCGCCTGTAGTTCCAGCTACTTGGAAGGCTGAGGCGGAGCCCAGCAGGTTGAGGCTGTGGTGGCCAGGAACGGCCACTGCACTCCAGTCTGGGAGACAGAGTGAGACTCCAACTCAAAAAAAAAAAAGAAAGAAAAAGAAAAGAAAAGAGACTAGGACTCAGTCTGATGGGACTCACAATGCCACATGTAACAGCTAATGGTCAGTTAAACTCCATTCCCAACCCATAAGATGAGAGCCTGTCATTAACCACACCCACCACACTGTCTACACACGCGCCAGCGTAAGAGATGGTCAAGGCAAGGGCGCACACCAGGGCACACCCCTGGCCATACACTGGCATCATCAGGAGAACTTATAAGGATACTCGCTGAACCCACCCCAGAAAGTCTGGTTTAACTGGGTCAGGTGGATCTGAAGTTTTAGAAGACTTCCATGGTTGACAATCACAGCACTGAACTCCCCCATCATGGCCAATAGATCACCTTACAGCAAATGAAAGATTTCATTCCCTAGAATGAGGGAGAACATGGAGAACGAGGGTCTCTTGGAGGTCCTACACAAGGGTCTTCATTATTCTTTTTTCCCCATTTCTCTCTTCTGCACCAGTCATATGTAAGTCCTATCTTGGGCATATCCAGAAATGAATGGTTTGATATCCAGCTTTGCTCTCCTAGGAAAATGCAGCCTCATGACTCTCCTGGCCCAAAATAACTCCCTGAACTGTGTCCCCCGTGCCTCAAGATTTCAGTTTGTTCACTTTAGCCACTTCATCACAGCCACTATCCTGTGACCGCATGCCTGGTGCCCATCTGCTCTCTGCATGGGGCTGCCGTCACCACCGTGGAAGGTGTCGGGAGCATCAAGACCAGGGTTCACCCCGTACAGGTAAGAGCAGAATGTGGTGTGGACCAGATGTTAGCATCCCACGCAGCATGATGCACTCCAGTGATGTCACCAGAATTGAACTCCTTTGTGCTTTTAAGTTCTCATTTTGTCAGATTCAGTGCTTCATAGCTAGGGATCTTCTCAGAGATCTTTTCAAGGTTCTTACATTGACTTTAATAAACCTTAACCTCAAGAGACCTCCTCAGCCCTGTCCTTGTCCTAAACTAAAACAAGAGCAAGCCAGTCTGACAAGAGAAGAAAATGAGATTGGAAATCAGACATTTATAGAAGACACTCATTGTTCATCCCATTTCAAAACGACTTAGCTCTGCCGGAGAGGCCAGTTGTGTGCACAGATACTCCCCAAATGCTCTCCAAATATCTGACAAATAACTGCACACCACACCACAATAAAACACAACTAAAATAACAAATCATTTACTAAAGTTTAGAGAGCTTTTTAAAGAAATGGCAGTTATTTTTGTATACTAGAAGAGGAACATCTGCAGGGATTGGATGGTAAAGGCAGTGTATGGAAAGAAAACCATGAATAGTCTTACTGTTCCTTGAGATTCCTTCTCTTGGGAGGCTGGAGGGAACACAGAGGCCAAGAATGTTCTCTGACAATGTGCCACCTTTGATGGGCACTTGTAAGGTGTGTAAGGTATTGAGTCACTTAACTCTTAGATGGTGGTTTATCTGTGGAATAGGAAATGTAGTTTAGAGAAGCACGTGAAAAGCTCCAGAGTCATGCTCATGTGAGTTTTAATCCTTACTACAACTCATTAATTGAGTGACCTTGGGTGATTTTCTCGACTTTTCTTCATCTTCAAAATGAGGATAAGCGTGGTATGGTGGCACACACTTGTAATCCCAGCACTTTGGGCAGCCAATGTGGGAGGATTCCTTGAATCCAGGAGTTGGAGACTGCAGGATTCCTTGAATCCAGGAGTTGGAGACTATGATTACACAGCTGCACTCCAGCCTGGGCAACAGAGCAAGACCTTGTCTCAGAAAAAAAAAAAGTAGGATAATAATGATGTCTGCTTTACAAGATGATTGTAGGAATAAATTAAGAGTCTTAATAGTGGGTGTCTTTCAGCCATAAACTTAACTTTATGTTCTCATTAAGATCTTATCCCACACTTTGCTCAACAACCTAACAGCTCTTGAAGCACTTTATGCTGTACTTATATTTCTTTCTTTCAAATCTTGACAGTATACATGCTAGATTTGTTCTGGAGCTGGCTTGTACTAGCTTGTGAAAACCAATCACTAAATTTTCAGCAAGTTGCAAGTCAATCTTTAAACACATTGTTAAAAAAAAAAGAAAGAAAGAAAGAAAGAAAATTAAACTAGCCTGGGCGAGGTTGCTTATGCCTGTAATCCCAGCACTTTGGGAAGCCAAGGGAGGAGGATTGCTCAAGGTCAGGTTTGAGACCAGCCTGGGCAACATAGTGAGACTCTCAACTCTACAAAAAAATGTGAAAATTAAGCGAGGTGTGGTGTCTTGTATCTGTTACTTGGGAGACTGTTTGGGAGTTACTTGGGAGGCTGAAGCAGGAGAATTACTTGAACCCAGGAGTTCAAGGCTGCAGTGAGCTATGTTCATGCCACTGCACTCCAGCCTGGGCAACAGAGCGAGACCCTATCTCTAGAAAAAATTAATAAATAAACTTTACAAACTTACAATTAAATCATTTATAAAAGAATATGAGCCCTAGTAGAAGTAGTTATACAACAAAAATGGGAAAAAGATATAAATTAGGACTTTTATTCCCCCAGAGAGCCAGTTAAACATTTACCAGCACAGCAGGTTTGTGTTTGAAACAACTTGCCGTCTAGCAGTAATCCCAACACAGCCATATTCTCCTCCAGCATTTGAAAAAGTGTCCTTTCAGTTGGGCCACAAAGGAAGTGCTTGACTTCATTGTAGGAGCTGTGTTGTTTGAAAACTGTTTATTTCAAAACATTTGAGTCACACTCCCACCAGACAGTTGTGTATCCTGTGCGAGGCATACAACTGATATACACGGAGGGATCCCCAAGTCCTGTTTCCCATCTGTGGCTTCACATCACAGGGTCTTTGTGTAGAGTAGATAGCATAAATGGTCATTTCTCAGTCTGTTTTTTCATTGTTTTATTTGTTTTGTTGCTGCAGTCAAGTGTATAAAGTTATAGATGTATAAATTAAATATGTGGATAGCACAACACTAGTAAATAGCACTTGACAATTTTCAAAACATTCTTGTAGATTATATCAGTTAATCTGTAAAACCCTCTATAAAGTCAATGGAAAAAGGAATACTTTTCTCCAAAAATAGCTTTCCAGAAAGTATGCTAAATGATTTGCACATGTATTTATTCTTATAACCATCTTGTAAAGTAGATGTCATTATTACCCCGATTATAAAGATGATAAAAGTCAAGTAAATCACCCAAGGTCACTCAATTAATGAGTTGCTGCAAGGATCAAAACGTTCATGAGCATAACTCCAGAACATTTTATTTGTTCCTTTAAACCACACTTTCTATTTCACAGATAAAGAAAACAGGATCAGCAGGGCATGGTGATACATGCCTTTAGTCCCAGCTACAAAGGCAGGAGGAATCACTTGAGCCCAGGAATTCAATCTGAGCACGATAGCAAGACCCCATCTCTATAATAAATAAATAAATAAATAAATAAAGGAAAGGAAAGGAAGGAAGGGAGGGAGGGAGGGAGCGAGGGAGGAAGAGAGGGAGGGAGGGAAAGAGAAGCAACTCAGGATCTAGAGAATAAAGTGACTTCATTAATACCTGCCAGTAGGCTTCCTGGGGGCAAAAATAATATGCATATGATTTCAAGAAATTAAAGTGTTTCTCTTCCAGGAACATCTTTTACCCTGAAGTTATTTCAGGAAAGCTAAATATGTAAACTCCACAGTTTGCTGGTGTCCAAGGTAGGAAAACAAGAGATCCGATGTGTAAATGGTATATACTGTCTCCCAGGAAAGACTCGCCAAGTGCCACGGCACGCAGTGTGGCTTCTGCAGCCCAGGGATGGTGATGTCCCTCTACACACTGCTGAGGAACCACCCGGAGCCCACTCCTGAGCAGATCATGGAATCTCTTGGAGGTGAACCTTCTTGACCCTCTGCAGGCAGGGCCCAGGGCAGAAAGTACTCAAGGAACCAGAGCAGAGGTCCTGGCCCATGGAGAGATGTTGCAATATGGCTTTGGGGTGCCACCTGGCTAACGGGGGCATCTCTAGGACCTATCTCAACACAAGTCAGTTCCAGGAAGGGCATCTTCATTTTGGCAGTAGGATGCCAGGAATTGGGGCGATACTGGTTTCATCACCAAACACTTTTCCCCTGGTGGAACCTTTGTTACTCGGCATTGAAACGGGCTGTTTTCAACACTCTTAATACAATCTTTTCCAAATGTTGACTTTTGGGTCGTGAAAAAGAATACGATTTTGCCATTTGTTTTTTAATTGTTCTGTGAGAACCATTATTAACTTTACTTACTAAAATTAGTTTTGCAAAGAGGAAAGACTTTCAGATACTTTATATTTTCATGTTCTAGCTGGGTTCATTATGCAACATAAGATAAAGGTGATCATAGACAATGATTCATCATCTCAAGTAAGCTTAGTAAGCAATTTGATCTCCTATGACAAAATAGCTATCAGATTCAAATGAAGGTAATTTTTTACAAGAAATAAAGGCACATTAACAAATGTTTTCTGTAGCAGACATACCTGTTTTCAAGATAATCTGTCACTAGTTCTTAGAAGAAAACTGTTAAAACAAACCTCTGAGTATTAAAGGAAAGCTCCTTGTTCCTTTCGATAAACAGACCTACACAGAAACTCAATTTTATGATGAAAAAATAAAACTAAGCTGCAATTTAACTTAAATGTTATTGTAACTGGTATGTAAATTTATCTAATATTTTTCCTTCTCATTCAACAACTTCTTTACTCAAAACTTTTTGGTTTCTCATAAATACTATTAAAACTTTGTCCTATGTTTCAATTATAGCTTTATCCAAATCTGAATGTATTCAAACAATGGACAATCTTTGCTTAATTATGTAATCACACAAATGAGATATTTAGAGTTTCGAAAAGCAGAGATCTTGTGATTTGCCATACTTTTAGTTTGTTTGAATATATTCAAGAAGTCTTTTTTTTTTTTTTTTTTTGAGTTGGAGTCTCACTCTGTCGCCTAGAGTGCAGTGGCCGCTCCTGGCCACCGCAGCCTCAACCTGCTGGGCTCCGGCGATCCTTCCGCCTCAGCCTTCCGAGTAGCCGGAATTACAGGCATGCGCTACCATGCCCGGCTGATTTTTTGATTTATTGTAGAGATGAGGTCTCGCTGCCCAGGCGGGTCTCGAACCCACGGGCTGAGGCAATCCACTCACCTCAGCCTCCCAAAGACGCGGGATTACAGGTTGAGCCACCGAGCCCAGCTAGGAAGTCTTTTTTTTTTTTTCTTTTTTTTTCTTTTTTGAGCCAGGGTCTCACTCTGTTGCCCAGGCTGGAAGGCAGTGGCATGATCATAATGGTCCACAGCTACCAGCAGCCTCAACCTTCTGAGCTCAGGCAATCCTTCCTCCTCATCCTCCCAAGTAGTTGAGACTATAGCTGTGCACCACCACACCTGGACAATTGTTTTATTTTTGAGCCTGAGACTATATTGCCTAGGGTGGTCTTGAACTCTGAGGCTCAAGTGATCCTCTCACCTTGGCTTCTCAAAGTACTGAGATTATAGGAGTGAGCACCCAACATGGCAGTCTTATAAAGATGGATTATTTCCGGGCACCCCTCTCGGATCCCCTTCCACTGTGGGAGCTTTTCTGTTCTCTCAATAAATCCTGCTTTCTCAAAAAAAAAAGATGGAAGAGATTCCATGCCTGTCATTTACATGACAACAACCACGAGATGGTGGTGTCAAGTTTGGCTAAATGAATGAAGTAGAAAACCTCATTCTAGGTATAGATAACTTGGAGAGTATGTTTTGTTTAGCAATCCATTTACTTGTGCTCTTTCTAGAGTTATAAACGTTAGCCACACTTGTCCCTATTTTAAGAAAAACAATAATATTAAATAAAGTTCAAAGAAATCTAATTAGTACAAGCACATAACTTCTTAAATGATCGATTGATATAGATCATTACTTCATTCATTATAGTCTTTTTCCTTTGAGATGAAAAGAATAGAATAAAATTTTTGAACTTGCATTCTTTTTTTATTTCTTAGAATCAGAGACATTTCTGTAATGAGTGCAATTAGTTATCCTTTGGTGGACCTTTAGTAGGGCCTATCGATTTAGCCCTATGTGGCTAAGAACAAAACAAAACACCCTGATACTGACTCACACAAGCCTTTCTGGTTTGCTCACAGTTTGTTGAAGAGAAGGTGTTTGTCACCTCTTGAGAACTTCTGTTTCATGCCATATAGTTACATTTCAGACATTGCAGCACCTTCCCTCTACTCTAAAGAGGAATTTTTTTTTTTTTTTTTTTTTTTTTGAGT